AGACTCAAAGTAACCGCGCCGACGTATTTGAAACAAGGATCAATCTCATTGTGTTGCTGGATACTACACGACCTTAATGATGGTGTGAATGGAACTTCTACGGGTCACGATCCGCCGATCTAGTGAGCTCGATCCACCTCTCCAGCGGCGAAGAGCGAAATCCTCGGGTTCGGGAATATTGCCATCCGTAAACTGACCGTATAGCACCAGGGTTTGACTTGGCCCTGCCTAGGCGGCGTTTTGATACGTCGAGCAACCACACTAAACCCGGGAGGGCGCGCTGAAGTCAATTCAATTGTCTCTCTTGAATAGGTCTAGGTGGTCTGGACGGTCTCACCTTAAATGAAGTCGATCTACTTCACTGAAGTGTTAGTCCTTGGGCAACGGTGTGGTCAAAAATTCTTGTTTTAGGCGCAGGACCCAACATTCGTAAGCATACAGGAAGACTTGTTAGATAGGTTTCCTATACAGGTATATATTCATAAAAACTTTCAAGCAGTATCGAGTCGAATACCGATGTCGTATTTAATCTATCCGTTTGCAAACCGTTGTCGCGGGATATGTGACGCCTCCTACTTTGCTGAGCCACCACACTAATATCGAGAAGTGTCTCGTCCCGAGTAAATAGGAAGCTCGCGAATACCTTCGCTTTTGCGAGAGGGGTGGAGAAGCTGAATGATTTAGCGACCTCGTTCAATCGAAACACTACCATTCTGTAGGTTATATGTCAGATGGACGGTATCATCCGCCTAGTTGAGGTTGGCCAGTCAGCGACCCCGTGTAAATTTCTGCGAACTGCGACTGTTTCTTTTGTGAGTTCACTCCGACTTGTTTTCCTTTTTAGCACTGCGACCATCCCACCTCAGGCGACCGATAAGTTAGGCGGTGGTCCGTTGCTGGTGGTGGGTAAGAGAGTGAGGTCGAGCCTCAGCGCATTTCTTTCCTCTCACTAGGCGTGGGTGTGGTCAGAGAGTGGGGGGGGCAGATCCTGCACGAGTCTACGCTCATTATAATCCAACAGCAGTCACCGCGTTGCT